GCAAAGTTGGCAGCACAGTATAATGTATAAAAAAGCAAGAATACTGATGACCAAGTTGCACTGGATTCTAATTCTGCCAAAAACGAGCAGTCGTGATTAAATCACATGATGCATATGATATGCAGATAGGGTTCTTTGTATACAGTGAGTGCTCAGCAAATAGTATTTATGATATTTATTGAAGATCAATATAAAGGAATATCCACTTTTTGTTGTCTACATTACATTCTGTAATGACAGCTATTTGAAAGAAATGACTTGAACTATTCTACTCATCTGTGTTTTCAGTCATGTAATTTTAGTCAGAAAAATATTTACTGAACACTTCAGGTACGACTCTGTGCCAGGCCCACATAAACAATCCACAGTAGTGGCACAACCTCTAAGGTGCCACAGCACATTTGGGAAGGTGCATCTCACATGAGTCAGTAGGAAAGTGAAACAAGAATGTCTGCAATGCACTGGGCTGCATGGTTTGGCCTCAGTGTATGAGTGTTTAGAGATGGCAGTGATCCAAGCTAAGCCATTTTCTCCTTTACTGGTTGATAAACATTGAAAAGTGGCTTTAATTTCTATAGAGCAGAGTCATTAACCACATTTTTTACAGAGATGTTTTAAACACACAAAAACAAGAGAGTAGAGAGGCAGGTTTATGACTGCTGAGCACAGGTGAAAACTGCAGCCCGCCACCTGAGATTTGTGCAAGGCTGAGGTACACCTCACTTGGGAGGGAGGCCCTGGTGCAGGCACTCATAGGAAGTTCTTCATAGGAAATTTTCTTAAAATAGAGCTGACAGGGCACATATCTGTGCAACACTCCAGCTGAGAGCTTTTTCCTTTCTGACTGAAGATTGTAATTCTACTCCTCTATTCCAATCCCCTTACCTAGGGAAAACTAGAAATGAACCAATATAACCTCCACATTTTAGTGACATCATTCTCCTGTTTACCAATTGCATATGAGCTCACTGGGGTTAGGGAAACACCTGCTGCAGCAGAATAAACTATACCTTAAAAATGTGATATATCTTTCAGGATGCCTGGGTCTACATGTCCATACAACCACATATGGATAAAAATGGGGATATAATATTGTTCTGTGTGAGAGGAATTATCTCAAGTGACAAGGAAACTCACTTCTCAGCTCTATAGTACCAGTACATCTGCCTCAAACTTCCCAAGCCTCTCTCCGGAGAGGATCTTGTAAAAACTCTTCAAACAAATTTTATCATAAACCTTAAATTAAGTGCCTGAAGACTTTCCACCACCAGAACTATCCAAACCTGTTCTGATTCCAGAGCTTAGGTTCATCCCAAATGGTTCAGGTTTTAACTCCACAGGTATGACTGAGACCAGCCCTGATATGGGCTTCCCTACATTAAACCCAGCATATATGGGGTTAAAACCAAAGCACTCTTTCCCTGCTTACTCCCTGGCTCTAGAATCCACTATCCTCCATGGAGACAGACACAGCCAAGGACAGCCACCTGGATTCCTCATCTCCTCCCCACAAGGAGCTACAGGCTGGTGGGAAAGCTGCTGACCAGCAAGGTCACGGGCTCCCTCCTCTCTGCAGTGTCTCAAGGCGAAACACAGGCTGGTGGGAAAGCTCCGACCAGCAAGGCCATATGCTCCCCCTCCCCTACCTAAAACCCCAAATAAAAACCCTTCCTTTTAGCTTTTCGGGGAGTTTGGGATTTCAGCGTTAGCTGCCCTTTCTCCTTGCTCAGCACTGTGCAATAATAAAACTCCTACTTTCTTCCACTACATCCGGTGTCAGAGATTGGCTTGTTGTGCAATGGGTGAGCAAACTCACTTCAGGTTCGATATCATGATCTCATCTAGATAGATCAGAATAATTATGGTTTACCTATCTTCAAAACAAAACAATCCTTTCATTTATTAGCAATCCAACTTAAAAAAAATTGCTAGTTTCTTCTTTAAACCACAGTTCTGAGATTCTAAACCTGTATATTTTTGGCAAGAAGGTCTATTTATTTGCTAAGCCAAGTATATTCTCCACTCCTCAAAAATGTATAGCTAAGAATCAATATCCCATGCCTTTTTGTCTTAATGTAAACAAATGAGCTACTTTGTAAAGCAATGAGCAGAGAAAATATGTACGTGGTTAGAGCAATGCTGACAAGCAGGTGGGAGGTGGTGAGTAGAGATGGTAAACATACATTCCCTGTGCAGAAACAACCAGATTCCCACCACTCTGCGTGCTCGGCCACAAAGGCGTATGTAGGTTAACTAGTTCCCATTCTTGCTAGACTGCTCTCCCTAAAAGTTTTTTTTTTTTTTTTTTTTTTTGAGGAAGACTGGCCCTGAGCTAACATCCATACCCATCTTTCTCTACTTTATATGTGGGACACCTACCACAGCATGGCTTGCCAAGCAGTGCCATGTCAGCACCTGGGATCCAGGCCGGCGAACCCCGGGCTGCCCAAGTGGAAGGTATGAACTTAACTGCTGTGCCACCGGGCCAGCCCTCCCTAAAAGTTCTTCATATGCTCTTCCAAAAAATAGGGCAACGTGGGTTGTTGCACAGTAATCCAGGTCTCAAAGGCGTTCTCTCCCAACTATTCAGATATTCATTCCTTCCTTCCACCACCTCTCATTTCCAAGCCTCTGATTCTGGCCCCTTGCTAAGTGTCTCCAGGTTCTTAGGATACCACAGTTCTTGATGAAACTATACGACCACTCCATCTCTGACCACTACTAGATTTCTCCACAAAGTGAGTGTTTCTAAAACATTGCCCTATCATTTGACCTTGCAATTCCATTTCTAAGAATTTATGCCAAGGAGGGGCCGGCCTGGTGGCACAGTGGTTAAGTTTGCACGTTCCCTTCGGTGGCCTGGGGTTTGCCAGCCCAGATCCCGGGTGTGGACATGGCACCACTTGGCAAGCCATGCTGTGGTAGGCATCCCACATATAAAGTAGAGGAAGATGGGCACGGATGTCAGCTCAGGGCCAGTCTTCCCCAGCAAAAAGGAGGAGGATTGGCAGCAGTTAGCTCAGGGCTAACCTTCCTCAAAAAAAAAAAAAGAATTTATGCCAAGGAAACTGATGTGCAGGAAATAATTTTTTTCCATGCAGATGTTCATCACAGCTTTGTTTATGAGGGAAAAAAGGAAGCAGTCTAAATAAGCTAAATATACAAAACAATAGTTAAAGGGAATTTAAAAAAGATTTGAACCAAGGTTGTGCAGAATTCATGTCCTTAATTACCGTATTTCACCCACTGTTAATTTATAAACAGAAACAGACAGAGAATTGTTTCTTAAGAATCACTCTTCCTTTGCCTGAAGATATTCCCTGCGTCACCTTCACTTGAAGAACAGAATGACCTATTTCAAGAGATTATAACCACCTGTTGTAGGCAGCATACCGACTCCTCCTCAAAGAGGTCTCTGTCCTCATCCTGGGAACTTGTGTTACCTCGAATGACAAAGGGACTTTGCAGGCATGATTACGTCCAGGACTTTGAGACGGGGGTTATCCAGGTAGGCCCAACATAAGCACCAGGGTCCTTCTAAGAGGGAGACAGGAGGGCCAGCAGAATCAGAGGCAGACTGGAGGTGTGACACTTGGTTTCGAAGATGGAGGAAGGAGCCACAACACAAGGAATGCAGTGGCCGAAGGGGCCCCTAGAAGCTCCAGAGGCCGGGAAACAGATTCTCCCCTAGAGCCTTCAGCACGAAGGAAACCCTAACGACCTCCTGATTCTTAGGACTCCTGACCTTAGAAACGTAAGAGAGCAAACTTGCCTTAAGCCACTAAGTGGTAATTTGCTAACAGCAGCAACGGCAAAGCAACACACTGCCACACTGTATGACTGCTTAGCCTCTAAAACATCCGGATCCAGTTTAAATAAAAGCACAGAACTGGATTCCAGGCCTTGCTAGAGGGCAGAGACATTCAGCCCGAGGTCCAGAGCTTCATCAAAACCCAGGCTGAGCGAAGCGCTGCTCACGACTCTCTCCAGGCGTGCAGCGTCCACACTGCACCCCTCCAACCCGGGTCTATCCTCGCACGCGATCCGGAACCCGCGCCCTCGGAGCCCACCTCCTCCCCAGCTGCCCCGAGCTGCACGCCGCACTCTCTCCCGGGCCGGTGCGAAGTCCGGAAGACGGGACAGCTGCGACGACGACGACAGCGCCCTCCACTGGCCGCTCGCCGCACGACACACGCCGCCCGCGCGCTCGCACCCGCTCACTCGGTTCTCACGGCCACCGGAGGCGCGCGGGCGCGGACCAGAGGGGCCCGGCCTCTCGGGTCCTCACGCGGACTAAGGAGGCGCCGGACACGGCACTGAGCACGGTGACCGTCGCTGTCCCCACCGCCTCGCTCGGCCTCCGCTGCGACGGCTCGGCTGGGGCTGTATCGCCCCAGCTCCGCTCCGGCTCGAGGACGCGCCCAGCCCGGCTGCGCCCGTGCGGACACGGCCGCGGAACAGGGCGAGACGCGGCGCCGCCACGGCCCCCGGGGCGCGTCAGGACGCGGCGCTGGGCACGGTCGGCCGCCGCCCGCAGGGCCGCCGAGGCGCGCACGCCCCGCGCGGGGAGGAGCGGAGCCAGCCCGCGCGGGCTTCCTGCCGGCCTCGGGGGACGCCTCGGCCGTGAGCCCAGAGCCTCCGCAGGAGGGGAGGGCCAGCGCCCGCCCGCCCGGGGCGCCCCTCACCGGCTCGCCTCGCCGTCCGCGCCCGGCTCCGCGCGCCGCCGCCCGCTGTTCCTCAGAACCATCGCGCCGCCGCAGCTTCTCGGGAGAAATTTGGCGCGCTCCCACCAACTCTCGCGAGAGACCGGAAGCGCCCCACCGCCCAATCAGGATGCTCATCGTGCCCCGCCCCGCCGAGCTCCAATCGCCGCGGGCGCCCGAGGGGAGGTGGCCCGTCGGAACTCGGGTGAGATGTGCGCAGGCGCGCGGACCTCCAATCGCTGCCGGCGCCCGAGGGGCGGTGGCCCGTTAGGGACTCCAGGCAAAGTGTTCGGAGGCGCGCGCCCCGCACGGCGGCGTCTGCGGGCGGCGCTGCGGGCCACAGTGGGGTGGGAAATGTCAGGCCGTCCCCGCCCCGCGCCCCGCGCCCCGCGCCGGGCGGGCTGAGGTGGGGTCGGTGCCCCGGCGGGCGCGGCGTAGGGGGAGGCGATGGCGCCGGCGGCGTCGAAGCTGCGGGCCGAGGCCGGGCTCCAGGCGCTCCCGCGGCGGGCGCTCGCCCAGTACCTGCGCCTCCTGCAGCTCTACCCGGTGCTCACCAAGGCGGCCACCAGGTCGGCGCGGAGGGGACGGGACCGGGCGGGGGGCGGCCCGGAGCATGACCCCGCCTGGAGCTCAGACGGCCCGGAGCACCACCCGGCCGGGAGCTCGGACGGCCCGGAGCGTGACCCGGCCCGGAGCCGCGACCGCCCCAGTGACCCAGCTACATAGATACATCTTACATGGGGGGTTGAGTGTGAAAGGCAAAAATCCTTGTGTATCAAAATGACCCTCCAAAAACCTTAATTAACCAGAGAGCTTAGCATACGCGGTTTTGTGTATTCGGTTCCGGAAGGTAATTCGTAGGCATTCTAGAATGTGAACTCCAGGGAGCCAGACTAAAGGAATGCACGAAGGACTCCCTGCAGACCCCTGGGCCTTTGGTCCCTCTGCCCTAGAGGGACCGTCCCGAGGCAATGGGGCCCAGCTTCTCTGCGCTTGGCTGCCGCAACCGCACGGCTTGTTAGTGCCTGCATTCGTTCTGCCAGTTAGAATGGCGGTGGGTAGATGCCTTGAGGAAAGCACAGGAGCCTGGGCAGGGTGGGAGGTGTTCAGTTTATTTTGTTCTGCAGCTTTGCATTTGGGAGAAAACTGACAAAGCACTCTCTGTGCTGCTGACTAACGCCACCGTTTGATTTGGAGCACTAAACTTTTCACGAGACATCTCCCCTTCATTACTTAATTTCATAAGTTTGTCCTTTTTTATTAACTCAGTCTTTCATAAATATGTACGGAGTGCTTCTTGTGTGCTGGGCATCAGCAGTGATTAAGATAGGTGGGTAAGGTCCCTACCCTCGTGGAGCTGGCATTCTAGTGAAGAGCTAGACAAAAAGCAGATAAATATATAACACAGGTAAAGTGGTCAGGGACGTTTTATCTGAGGAGGTGACATTTGAAGGGAGGTAACAGGCCATGCAAAGAAGGGAAGCAAAACCTCTCTGGGCAGAGGGCACAGCAGGTGCAAAGGTCTGGAGAGAGGAGCTAGCTAATGATGGAGGAGTGGAAAAAGGTCTGTGTCTCTGGAGAAAATGAGCAGTGAGCAAGGGAGAGAATAAGAAAGAAGTAACCAAGGATCAGATCAAGAAGGTCCTTATTGTCCATACTAAGAAGTTTGGATTTTATAGCTCAGAGAGCTTCTCAGAAGGCAGCTATAGACCAAGCCTTGGAGCAACTGGGCATTCTCCACCTTTTTATTGAAATTTTTATTGTGATACGTGTAGAGTCACATGCAGTTGCAAGAAATAATACAGGGAGATCCCTTACACACTTTGCCCAGTTTATCCCATTGAAAACATTTTGTAAAGCTGTAGTACGTATCACAACCAGGACACTGGCATGGATACAGTCACAGATCACATTCAGACTTCACACCCAGCTTTGCTTGTCCTCGAGTGTGTGCCTGTGTTTGTTCTATGCAGTTCATGCATGTATAGGTTAGTGTATCCACCACCACAGTCAAATACAGAAACGTTCACCGTAAGGATACTTCCTGTTGCCCTTTTATAACCACACACACCCCCACACACAGGATAACCTTTTGCCAAATTGTAGTATAATATCACAATCAGGAAACTGACATTGATACAGTCCACCAATTGGGAAGCTGTATGTGTGTGTGGATGTTAACTTCCACGGTCTCTACCTTTTGATGTACGGACCTTACACTGCGCTTGCTTTAGTAAGGATTCCTCTCCACCCCTCCCCAGCATGATCTCAGGAACAGATGCCCTCCTGCTGTTTGCTCCTGTTTTCTGATTACCTCTCTGTCCACAGTGCCATGTTGTCAGCACTTGGGAACTTCCTGGCCCAGATATTTGAGCAGCAGCAGAAAAAAGAAAACTGCTCTCAAAAGCTAGATGTCATTGGGCCTCTCAGATATGCCATTTATGGGTGAGTTCCATAAGGGGCTGGTTTACCCAATAGCAGACTAAGTGCTACAAAGGGAGGGGATCAAGCCCAGGTTTCTGAAATGAGCTAATCTGGAAAAATAATTTTTAAAAAGCATTGAAATAATCACGGGAAAAATCAGAACAGTGGATAATGTTAACTTCACTTTTTGTAGTTTTCATGTGGTTCTTCTTTTGAATTGTATGGGTGGGTGGCTGGCTTTTTTGGGCTGAGAGACCTGAGGGCAGATAAACTCACCTGAACCAGACTTCAAGACTCAAAGTGTCTGAAAGAGGAAAACAGACTCAAATGTGGTCAGTTAGTTTCTGTTGTTATTTTCATAGGGGAAACATCCAGAAAAATACTTAGGTATCCTGAAAAATGTCAGTTTCTGAACCACTTTTTGAGTTGCAATAGCATGGAGATTCGGGAGTTTTACCACTTAAGTCCACCCTGAGTTCTCTGGCCAACATGGATTTGTATACATGGATTCTTTTGAAGTCTTTTGCAATGAGAGTGATTTTCTTTTCAATTCAAAATCCCCAAATATCATTTTTGTATCTGCGAGCATGCTAACTAGTCATCCCAGCTCTTTCCGTGGTGTATTTGGAGCCGTGATCCCGCAGACAGGGAGTGGACCAGACTCACCAGGAGGCTTTATCCAATCACAGCTTTCCATCCTCAAGACTTCCGTGCTCCTCCCACCAGAACTCCGGCTCTAGGCTGCTTCACATTCTCTGGCAGGGGGGGAAAAGGCAACTGAGAACCACTTGTTTAAAGACATCCGCGTCAGGTAGAAGACCCGTGGGTCCCTTCTTTTCATCGCTGAATTTTGTGGAGCTGCAGGTCTGTTGTCCCAAGGATACGGCGGCTTGCTTCAGTTCTCTCCCGAGCGCTCCACACTTTGGAAGAACACTAGCAACGCAGGCAAGCCAGTGTGCTCACCAGATTTCACTCTTGCTAATTACCTGAGAGGGTTTGATGGAAAGCTCTAACACCAGCGATGCGTCCAGTTATTTATTATCAAACACCTTCTCTGAGCCAGGTCATGTTCTGGGCACTGAACAGACAGGCGTGATCCTGTCTTGTGCTGTTTGCCTTGTGGGGGCGAAGAGAGAGCACTGTAACTAAACCAAGGAGCCTGTGACATGTACTGATAAATGCTTTGAAGAAAATGAACAGGGCCCAGAGTGGAGAGTGGCTGGGAGAGCAGTGGGTTCATTATGCAGGTGCAAGTGGGAAAGAACTCTCCGAGCTGACAGTGTTGAGGAGGAGCCGGCCCCTTGAAGGTTAGGGGGACCCAAGGTAGGAACAAGTCTGGTCTGTGAGAGACAGGAAAGAATGCTTGAAGTAGATTCAAAGAAAGCATGTTTTCCAGAAGGACCGCACAGACCAGTGCTGAGGGACCACAGGGAGGCAAGGTTTAGGAGCTGGGGTTTGGGGGTGAAGCTGGGCCCCGGAAGGGCACGTCTAGAGCGGCAGTCCAGCTCACCCGCCACCACGGGGCCGCAGGTTCTTCTTCACAGGGCCACTGAGTCACCACTTCTACCTCTTCCTGGAGCACTGGATCCCTCCCGAGGTCCCCTTGGCCGGGGTCAAGAGGCTCCTCCTGGACCGCCTCCTCTTTGCACCGGCCTTCCTGTTGGTGTTCTTCCTCGTCATGAACTTCCTGGAGGTTGGTCTGCCCTGTAACACTTACGACAGCTCTTCGTTTGCCACAGGGATTCTTAATCTGGCATCAGTGGGTGGAATTCAGAGGGTCTGTGACCTGTTCCCTGCACTCAGAGTTTCACATTTTCTTCTATGAATCTTGGAGGCCAGCCACCATCATGTTAACAGCACCTGTTGGTCCACAGGAGAAATCACAGATATTCTGATACCACACAGGAGTTGTTCATTCCTTACACCTGCTGTCAGTTCTTGTCACTAAATGTGTCAATAAATATGCACATATACTAGTTTATTATAAAATTCTTTCCTGAATATTTTGATAGCTGTATTTCAGTATAATTGGTTCCTTTGTAGTCCTATATATTTTATTTTATGCATTACAAAACACGATTCTCAGAAGGGGACCCATGGGCTTCATCAGACTGCCAAAGAGATCCTTGGTACAGAAGTTTCAGACCCCTCGTGATGTTGCAGAAGCCTGTGCTAATTCAGTGCCAGGACAGTATAAGTGCTTTGAAGAGGTTAACTTATCGGCATAAACTTAACATCAGAACCCACCACATGAGAGGTGTGTTCCCTTCAGCTGCTCACCACCTCCTCTGTGCACTGTGTGCCAAAGATGTGCCACATTCTGCCCTGGAAGTAATTTGTTTCAGCCAATCACAGCAGGTAAATGATTCTCACCCAGGTTTGATTTTGAAACGGCATCTTGGTTTCTTGTTACTAAGGAGAGCCCCTTGTTGTCTAAAGTGACCCTGGGGGAGTAGGAAAGATGTTTAAACTTAACTGTGATTGCTAGCTAGTCCATACTAGTAAACTAAGAAATGTTGGGAAGTCCTGAGGAAGTCTGGGGCAGGAGGAAGCAGAGGGTGCCTGCATTAGAAGTGAGGGGGCCATGGTGTTTTCTCCTTGTTTTCTTTCCAAATAGATAGGGAATGTATTTTCATCAAAAAACAAAAACCCTGTACGTATATGTCAAATGTTACCAACATGCATAGAGTACCCAACACATAAATGATACATGTGGGACCACACTATACCACACACACTACAGATGCTCCTGCTTCCAGCATTTTTGATCAGAGACACCGTGTTAGACTGCACAGCATTTCACCATCTGCCTGTCCCTTTTGTATAAGTGTTCCTGTTAGGTTAAACCCTAGAATTGTGTCCAGAAAGGCTGCTCCTGTCTGCCCTCCCTGTAGTAGTGCAGAATAATAGCAACAGCTGACATTTACTGAGTTCTTGCTTTGTTCCCAGCTCTGCATTGAGCGCTTCCTGTCCTATGAGCCTCACGTCAACTCCATTTGACAGCTGAAGAAGCTGACCCATGTGGGCAATTACTGGCTTGTGCATCCTTCAGTCAGGATTCAGACCTAAGCTTTGTGACTCCAGAACGCTTCCCTCATGGCTTTTCCCCTGTGTGAGGCTGCTTTTCCACACTCTTGACCACCGTGATGGGATTTTTCTTTTAAGTAGTTTGCAATCTGATAGATGAAAAATATTTTAATTTACTTATCTTTATGAGGTTGATCACCTTATTATAAGCTTATCTGCATTTCTTCTGTGACCTTTGCTTATTTTCTGTTGCTTATTACTTTTCTATTACTTATTTGTAATAGAAATACTTATTACACTTATTATTTTCTGTTATTGCTTTTCTCTTACTTATTTGTATATTTGTATATATTAAGGTATCAATCTTTTGCCAAATACAAGTTGCAGATATTTTTCCATTTTTTAGGTGTCTTTTTAAACTTCATATAAAGTTAGAACATTTGTATAAAGTTAAAAATTTTGTTATATTAAATTTTTTGTAGTGTCTCTATACTGAAGTTTAAAAACTTAATGTATTGAAATCTAGCATTCTTTTCTTTTGTGGTCTTCCTTAAAGGAAGATATTGGAAACATTCTTTTATGCTTTCTTCTAATCATTTTGTACATTTTGATAAACCCAAAGATAATAGAAATATTCTCCTATACTTTCCTCTAGTATTCTGGTTTTGTTTTTATTTATAGTGGGAGAAATACTTGTGTCTTGGTGTTTTCCGCTTAAATAGTAAATTTTCTCATTATCATTTATTGGAAAATCCTGGTATTTTGAAATGTTAACTTTATCTTAGTCTCATTCTCATATGTACAGTTCATTATCTGGACTCCGTTCCTTTGATGGGTTCTGTTCATTTCCATTGTATGTCTTTGTTTGTTTGTTTTTTTGGCTGCTGCTACCAGGCTCTGGTTTTTTTCTTTTTGGTGAGGAAGATTGGCCCTGAACTAACATCTGTTGCCAATCTTCCTGTTTTGCTTTTTTTCTCCCCAAAGCCCCAGTACATAGCTGTAGATCATAGTTGTAAGTCCTTCTAGTTCTTCCGTGTGGGGTGCTGCCACAGCATGGCTTGATGAGCACTTTATAGGTCTGTGCCCAGGATCCGAACCTGCGAATGCCAGGCTGCTGAAGGCGAGTGGGCGAACTTAACCACTACGCCACCAGGCTGGCCCCTCAGACCCTTTTAATTACCGTAATGTGATAGTATTTTTTAAATCTCGAGTAGAGTTTGCCTGCCTTCGTCATTCTTTTTCAAGATGGCTATTCTTATGCCTTTATCCTTCCAGATGACATTTAAAATCAATTTATTGGGGTCCGTTAAAAAAAAAAAAAAAAACTCTTGACAAGGTTTGAATGGAAATGCATCAGCTTTGGAGATTATTTGGGAAGGAATTGACAGCTGAGCCATAAGTAGCAGTTCTGGTGCCCAGGGCCATGGCATGAATCACACCATCAGATGGGATGAGGGTCCTGGACCAGCGGCTCAAAGGTGTGAGCCTGGGCTGCTGCACTGTTCTGAAGATTTTCTAAGTGAGGGGTTAGCTCCTTAGAGCTGCTCTGCTGCTTAAGCACACGTGTGTGCTGTCTACATAGAAACGGGACAAACCTCACAGTTTAAAAACCACTGTGTTAGCGTTTGGGCCCCTGCAGACCCTGGTGCCCCAATTTCTGTCCGCCGGGTAGTGGTGATTGCTCAGCGCCTGCATTTCCCTCTTCTCCAGGGGAGGGACGCGGCCGCCTTCGCTGCCAAGATGAGAAGAGGATTCTGGCCGGCGCTGCAGATGAACTGGCGAGTCTGGACCCCGGTGCAGTTTATTAACATCAACTACGTCCCTTTGCAGGTGAGGCCAGCCCGGCATCGCGCAGAGCCCGAGGGGCTTCAGCCTCCACCAAAGGCCATTTCCCCCCAGCCTTTTTTCTTGCAACAGTCTGGTTTTCTCGAGCCTCCGTGTCGCCCTCATTCGGGATTCCTTCCAGGGCGTTCCTGCCGCCTGGAATCCTTGAGTTTCGGATTCGGAGCCCTCTCCCAAGTGGTGCCCACGCTTTGTCCATGCATCCCGCAAGTGTTTACAAAAGCCCCCGTCCAGGGACAGCGTTCGGGGGTCTCTGGTGACGAAGGGTTCCCAGTGCCAAGGAGCGGCCGGTGCCACGAGGCGCAGGAGGCGGGCCGGGGCGGCCTCACCTGCAGTGACGTCAGAGCCACACCTGAGCGGCAGGGGGGCGGGGCCGGCCCGGGACAAAGTGCAGAGAGAACGCGCCACCTAGGCTACGAGTGACGGGCGCTTTGGGCTCCGGGGGCCGCCGTCGGAGGCTGGCGAGGAGGTTGGGGCCGCTCCGAGCGCGGTGGGAGCCGGGAGGGTCTGAGCAGGAAGCGGCCGCCGGGACCCCCGCAGAGCGGGCGCAGCTGGCCGGCCTTGGTGCCGCACAAATACGGACCGCCCGCCACGCCACCTGGGGAGGCCAGCACTCCTTGGGTCGCCGGCCTCACCATTATCCAGTCTTTACACACCGAGCACGGCCCATCTATGTCGGGCGCCCAAGACCACTCCCAGGGTTGGAGATTTGCTGGAAGGGCTCATGGCCTAGATTTATGACAGCCACGCAGCAAGGATATACAACTGGTTCCTAGGAATCCCGCGCTGGCTTCCTGTGCTCCCTCCCTCCATGAGGGTCACACAGAGCAAGCTCTGGACCACCAACAAAATGCGGCAACACATGCGCCGTGGTTCTGCCCAGGGTGGAGTTTATTGAGGGCTGGTCGCCTAGGCATCTCCGCCTGGCACATACCCACATTCCATATTCCCAGGAGAGCAGAAGTTCAGCATAAACCACCCTGTCTTTGCCAGCAGTCTAGGCACAGGGAGCCCTTCTTAGTTGGGGAAGATGGGAACACTACCGGGCCATTCCAAGGACAGTGGCCTCCATGTTAACCATTTTCTGCATACCATCTAAGTAACCTAGGAGACTAGCTCATAAAGCCTAGATCCACCCCTGCCCCAGAGAGAGGAGGGAAACAGACCCGGGGCAGGACCCCCTTGGGAAACAGCTACATGGAAAGGATGGGAAGGGGGAGGGATGTGCAGGCTCTGTAGACACACACACAGGAAGGAGCAGGAAGCCGGGAGAGGGCGTGACAGACACCTGCAGCACAGGTTGCAGGGGGTTAAAGCAAAACGAGAAGCAGCTTCCATCGGCTTTAACAATAACCCTTATCAGTGACCTTCCCAAGAGCTGCAAGTGGCTGAATGGGGCTGGAAGCCAGATTGCTGGGAATTGAGGAGAGGAGTGGGTGGGGAAGTAGAAAAGAAACCACAAGAGTAGAAAATTCTCTCCAGAAGTTTGTGAAAAGGTGGGGAGAAAGGACAGTGAGAAGAGAGCCAGGGAAGAGGGCTTTGAGCTGCGTTGTAGGCACAATGCAGATGCACACCTGCGCCCCTAAGGGGAGGGGATGGGATTTGGGGTAGGCAGAGAGAGGCTTTAGACAGAGGGCCCCTCTTCCCTGTGGCAAGAGAGAAGAGGTGACTGTTTACTGGGGACCTCCTGTTCACCCTTTCCCTTTCCTCTGGGAGGACGGAGGGCAGACCAGGCCGGACTGAGGGGAGAGGAGGTGGGATGGGTATTTTGAGGGGAATAAAGAAGGGGTAAATTTGTGGTGAACAGGAGAGGGAGCTGACTGGAGACCCTCATACACATGGGCCTGGGCTTGGGGGAGGCGAGAAGGCGGGGAGGAGCGAGGTTTTTTCCTGGGAGTACAGCCAAGGAACAGGAAGGTCAAGGAACCACAGCTGTGAGCTGTGGACTCTCAGGTCCATAGAGAAGGACTGACGACGCGAGGGAGCAGAATAGCTGAGGACGCCGAGAGACTGGAAAGTGGAACCCCTCCAAGTGGTTTAGGGACAGAGCTGCAAGGCTGTGGTCTGAATTTCCATTTTAGGTGGTTGCAGATGAGCACTTCAGGGGCAATGGAATTTATTCAACAAATCTTTACTGAGCAGCTACTGTGTGCCCCACTGCTCTGGGCTCTGGGGACACAGTGATTAACGAGATAGACCAGACTGCTACTTTCATGGAGCTTATGTGCTGAGACTCAGTGACTGACTAAAGGAGATCTCAGGTGGGAGTATGTCTGTCAGATCATCAAAGCAGGGTAATGGGACAGTGACGGGTTAGAGTGAAGAGCAGGCCATTGTGGGTGTCAGGGAGGGGCTGAGTGAAGCCACCCACATGATGGCCAGCCCTGGGGTGAGAGGCTAAACTGGGAGCTAATGTGCTCAGTGGAGGAGGTAAGGCACATTTGCTGTTTTCCCTAGTGGCCTGGAAACATCAGGCAGCGACTGTTTGTCCTCCTCACCCCTCTCTGCTGGGGGCCTAGCACAGTGCTTGTACAAATGTAAAGGCTCAGTGAGGACAACAGTGGGTGGGTGCACTGACCAATGAATGAACTCTGTCCTGGGAGACCGGCGCCTGAGAAGTACGGTCGGGGCCTCGCACTTATCTGCGGCCTCTGTTCTCTTCGGCAGTTCCGGGTGCTTTTCGCCAATCTGGTGGCTCTCTTCTGGTACACCTACCTGGCCTCTCTGAGGAAGTGAAGATGGCCTGGAGAGAACGTGAGACACACTGCCGACATGGGTCTGGGGGAAATGCTCACCTGCCAAGAACGGGAGCGGAAACAACCCAGTCAGGACTTCATTTGACTCTAGATCATGTGATTCAAGATGCTCTAAAATGATGGAGAAACAGAAACCTCTTAATGTCAGAATCTTGTGTTTTGAAAAGGCAATAGCTCTCTTCAGGTAGTGCTGCCCCAGAAACATAAAATACGGTAGAGATGATTTCACTTGTCACCTTGGGTTGAATTAGGATCACAATAAATTTTAAAGCAGCTTTTTCAGTGGTGATTTTCTCAGAACGATTACTGTTGCTTTGGAAGAAATGTATGGTCAGAGGGCCGCGCTCAGATTTTTTTTTCAGTTGTGGTAAAATATACAATACTACTGCTTAGCTACATGGAGGCATAGCAGAAAGGCCCTTCTAGACCAAGACTTGCCCCTGTGTTCTGAGAGGCCGGGTGATACATATATGCCACCCTTCCTGCTGATTTTTTCTGCTTCCTGTTGCTCCTTTACACGAACCCTGCCTACCCTGCTTTCTCACTCTTAAGCACGTTCCTTCCTCATAGTGTCCCATCCTTGCTTCATGGACGCAATATCCCTTGGGATCTCAATTATATATCTTTTGAAATTTTCCTCTGTCCCCATGTACTGTTTCTATTTTCTCAAGGTTCATTTGTTGTTTATTTTGTTCTTTTCTTTCAAGATGTCTTCAAATGTCTGTTGATCCTTGCTTGTGCATCATTGTTTGAGAGTCAAAGCCACTCCGGCATTCTCTGAAGCTTAGTGTGCATGGGCTACACTTATCAAATGGTATCCTTACTGTGGGCTGACCCAGTATTGTTGGGGATCACCCATTCTCAGTAACTGAGGCCTTTTCTCTTGGGCTTCAGTTTCCCCAGAGAAGAATCCTTTAATTTCTTGCCCAGGGAGAAGTATGGCAGTTGTAATGGAGCAAGCCTAGTGGCCAACATTCTTGTGACTGACTGGAGGAAAGGGGTTAGAGGTCCCACTATTAGCATATGAACTTCCCATCATCTCATCTTTATTACTGCATCCCAATCTCTGCTGTCTGGCGTTCCCAAATCCACAGTCCTTCTGGTTAAAATCCCCCAGAATGAAATCTGTCTAGTCTTCTGCCACGATGGAGATGAGGTGTTCGCCTGAATTACAGGAGATGGAGGGGTGTAGAGGGCAAGCTCTTCGAGATTTTTCAATCGGTCCTCCTGTGTTTAACTCCGCTCACCGACCTCAGAGGTGGGGCTAGTGCCTATAACTCCTCAGACTCTTCTAGACTCTCTGGATTAAATGAGCTTGTATCTTGGCTTCCCTCAGTGCAGGCAGCTGACGTTCCATCTTCCAGAATTTTGTCAACTGTTCTCTTTGTTTCTTCTTGCAGATTCAAGTATGTCCTTGTGGATTTGTCTTTTTTTTCCTTTTAAAATCTTTTTACTATGGTTCTAGTAAGTGACCTTCTAGAAATAAATGTTTGGGTTCAAAACACCATGTTTAAGCAGAGTTCTGGGTATTTCTGTGGAATAGATTCATTCTCCAAAATATCGAGTGATTTTTAAAAAAATGTAAATCACATCATGTCAATTCCCAACTTAAAAACCTGCAAAGATGATCTAGTAATTACACTTCTGGATATACACCCAAAAGAACTGAAAGCAGGGATTTGAAAAGATACTTGCACACCCATGTTCAGGGCAGCATTATTCACTGGAGCAACCCAAGTGTCCATTGATGGATGAATGGTTAAACAAAGTGTTATATTCATGCGATGCAATATTTATCCAGTTTTTAAAAAGGAAATTAATTCTGACATATGCTACAAGATGGATGACCCTCGAGGACATTATGCTGAAACACACCAGTTCCCAAAGGACAAACACTGTATGACTCCACTCACGAAGTTCGACTCAACTCAGAGACAGAAAGCACAATGGTGGTCACCTGGCTTTGACCGCAGGGAAATGAGTTGTTTCACGGGGAGACACAGTTTCAGTGCGGGAAGATGAAAACGTTCTGGAGATGGATGGTGGGGATGGTTGCACAGCAACGCGGATGTACCTAATGCCATGAAACTGTACACTTAAAAGTGGTTAAGAAGGCACATTTTATGTTATGTGTACTACAGCAAAAACAGCAGCATGCCCTGCGGAGGTTCCCAGTTCACGCGAACAGAACCCCAAGTCCTTCTCCGCGAGGCCCCGCCCGCCTGTCCGGCGCGGCGCCCGCCCAGGCGCCCTCGAGCTCCGCGGGGGCAGCGCCGCGCGACCTCTCGCTGCTCGAAGGCCAGGACTCGCCCGGCCCTCTGCCCACGGCGGGGCAGACCTCCGAGAACCCCCGCCCGCCATGCCCCTGCGTCTTTCTCCTCGGAAGCACCGGCGGCGGCCGGGCGATCCCGACAGCCCCCGCGCCGCCCGCCGGCCGGAAGGAAACATGTCCCTTGCGGCGCGCCGTCCGCACCGGTGAGCGCATGCGCGGGGCCGGTGCGGGAGGGCCGGCATGGCGTTCCGGCAGGCCTTGCAGCTGGCAGCCTGCGGCCTGGCGGGGGGCTCGGCCGCCGTGCTCTTCTCGGCCGTGGCGGTGGGCAAGCCCCGCGCGGGCGGGGACGCGGAGCCGCGCGTGGTCGAGCCTCCAGCGTGGGCCGGGCCTGCGCGCCCGAGGCCCGGTGTCTGGGACCCCAACTGGGACAGGTGCGGGGCCGGTGGGTGGGGGCCGGGCCCCGTGCCGTGTGTTCGGGCCGACAAGGTCTGCGAAGCGGAGGGGCGGGCGAGGCAGGCTGCGGGCGGGTTTCTCTATCGGTTCTGGCTGCAAGTCTGGCTGCGATGTGGGCGTCCCTCGATCCCTGAGCCTCAGTTCCGGGTCTGTCCCACCCACCCCTCCTCCAAGCCTCGGCTCCTGGTCTGTCCCACCCACCCCTCCTCCAAGCCTCGGCTCCTGGTCTGTCCCACCCACCCCTCCTCGGAGCCTCGGCTCCCCGGGGTCTGTCCCACCCACACCTCCTCCGAGCCTCGTCTCTCAAGTCCCGAGGTGGTTCTGAGGAACGAGTCTAGCGATGTGGACAGTGCCTGGCACACAGAGTGGCCCAACGTGGTCATTTTCAGTCCTAGACGGAGGGCTTGGACCTCTCTGTAGGGCTGTCATCCTTGTTTCCCACTCTCAGTTTCTGAAGCGTTGAATTGGATGATGGAGTATTGATCCTGTTTTTGCCTAACAGCTGAGAGAGATGGATGTGGGTGCCTGAAGAATGATGGCCAAGTCCTTTAAAAGGGTCTCTTTGCAGGGAAGATGTGCAAGGACATGGTTAGCAGACGTCTTGAATAGTAACATGAGCCTCCAGGGGTCTTGGGTCAGTACCTGGTCACTAGCCACATGTCCTGTGGAGCACCTGAAATATGGCTTCTGTGATCAGGAAACAATTGTTAGTCTTACAAAGCAGTGCAGATATTTTGATTATTGTTTATTTGTTGAAATGATAGTATTTTTGGTACATTGGGTTAAATAAAGTAAGTAATTGAAATTTTCCCTGCTTCTTTTTACTTTTTAATTGTGGCTACTTGGAGATTTAAAAACACGTATGTTGCTGGTCTGTTTTTATTGCACAGCACTGCTCTGGAGTCTGGGAGTGGCCATTATGGATGGTTTACCCAGTCCCAGCTCCTTACTACTTGATACTTTGCTCTGAGTGAGGGGGAACAGAGCTAATATTTATTTTTAGCCCAGGTGTATCAGGAACTTCATAGGGATTCATTTCTTTCACCTTTCATTTTTAAAAAATAAACTTATTTTAGAATAGTTGGAGATTTACAGAAAGATTGCAGAGGTAATAGAGGTCCTGTGTATTCCACACCTAGGCTCCTCTGTTGTTAACATCTTATGCTAGTATGGTACGCTTGTCACAGTGAGTGAGCCAGTCAGTATAGATATGTTATTAACTGTCGTCCATACTTTACTGAGATTTCCTCAGTTTTCACCTATTGTCCATTGTCTCTTCCAGGATGCTACATGACAGTTGATCCTCACGTCTCCTCAGGCTCCTCTTGGCTTTGAGAGTTGCTCACACTTCCCTTATCTTGATGACCGTGACAGTTTTGAGGAGTGCTGGTCAGGGATCTTATAGATTGTCTCTCAATTTGGATGTGTCTGTTTTTCTCATGATTAAACCAGTTCATGTTCTCTTTTTTAAACATCAGTACGATCTTCCAAATTTCTTACATCTTTTTAAGGAAACAGATTCACTCTGAGGTTAAAGGATTTGCTTGAGGTAGAACTGGACTCCAGCTTTATTGGTTGAAGCTGTATTTAGTCACCAAGTGTAAATGCTGGAAAGTTCCAGAGCCTCATCCAGTGAAATCTCCAGCCTCTTCCTGGGGAACTTCATCCAGTCCAGGCTCCCTGTGTCTGTGCCTGTAGCTCCCAGATGTCTTCTCTGGCTCAGCCCTAGGCTCCCACATGTGTGCCAAGGCAGCATCTTGGCCTGGTTGTATTATGGGCACCCCAGGCTCACATGGCCCCAGCAGAACCCTTGAATTGGCACTACTCCCCTCAAAACTTTCCTTCCGCCACTCTGTCTCAGCCAAGTGCATTCTTTTCTCAGCTCTGCCTTTTATTAACTTCAGTTCCGTGAGCCACCAGATATGCCTGTCATCTTTGCTGTGGCTGTCCCCACCCCATCAGCTCTTCAACATTCCAGCAGCACCTCCAGTAGACTTTCTGTGATAAGAAGAAGGTTTTCTTCCTTACTGTCCAATGTGATAACCACTCTCCCATGTGCATTTAAAATGTGTTCACTGTGACTGGGGAAATAAAGTTTTAATTTTATTTAATTTTCATTGTTTTGAATTTAAGTAATCACATGGCTAGTCGCTACTAGTGGACAGCACAGTTGCCGACTCTGCTTCAGTGTCCCCTTCAGCAAGGCCATAGTGGCTGCCCTGTGGGCACGTCCTACCTGCCCTCCCACAGCCACGCCTTCCTGTTACCTGGTTCCACTTTCTCCACGTCACTGATCTCTGTGCTGTTATTGCCTCTCCTCACTAGAATGTAAGTTGCACAAGGGCTTCACTTGTCTGTCTTGTTCACCATCCAGTCGCCCAGAACAGGCCTGGCAGCGCTCAGCTCTGGTCTGAATGAGATGTGCTCCAAGAAGCTGGCCTCTCTAGGGCCGGTGGCAGAGAACAGAGTGCCGAGGGCACTGGCTTCTCCCCTGTGCTTTCCCAAGATGGAAAGACCATCTTGTCAGAAATATCCAGGGTGATTTGTAAACAGGAGTCGCAAGGACATACCGTCTCATATTTCAACATTAGGCGAGAACCACTGTCCCTGGTCAACCTGCGGAAGAGGAACCTGGAATCTGGAGAAGAGGAACTGGCATCCAGGCTGGACCACTACAAAGCCAAGGCCACGCGGCACATCTTCCTCATCAGGCACTCCCAGTACCATGTGGATGCCTCCCTGGAGAAGGACCGCACTCTGACGCCCCTGGGTATGTGCTGGGGGTTCCTTGGACCTGTGTCAGGGACTTGGCCCAGATTCGAGCACTGTCATTGTCAGTAGTTATCACCCTAACTCCGATACATCAGAGGCTTCAAAAATGTCCTCAGCTTAAAAAATATGATGGTGGATC